TCCCCAAAAAAACATACATTACAATTGATTCAAAATGTCGCACAAACTGCTTTTCTTGGCAGCGTTAGGCATCATTGTTTACACTGCAACGCCCATACATGCAGGCGTACTGCGTAACACTGAGCAACCAGCTGGCTCGCCATTGGAAGTGGCGCAAGCCAGAGCAAGTAATCCGCCGGAGAGCACAACCAACGATCCAACTGCGGCGGATTCCGCAGCACTCAGCAAGGATCAAGATGCAACGGTAAGGATTGCTGTAGCTTCGCTAGATCCAGCGCCGAGCACCGTAGATGGCATTGAGATTTCTTTGGATACAGTAGACGAGGAAAAAGAGGAGTCAGAGCAAAAAGAGGAGGAAGAAAAGCAGCCAGAAGCAGCCGCGAAGTCCAAAGATGAAGTCAATGACAGCAAAAAGGAGTTCGCGCCAGCTTTAAGCGGAGACGAAGCGGCTAGCATTAAAGTAAACGCTCACGAAAGCGATGATCTTGCAAAAGATGTACCACTGAGTAGCGCTGAGTTTGTGTCCAACGCTCCGTCATCCTCCAAGTTGCTACTCCTTAGCACGCCTCGACTCGCACGCGAGCAGGAAGAGAACATTTCAGAGCCCGAAGATGTTGACATCAACACAGCTGTTTCTACCGATGAGACCACCGAGCTGAGTGTGGAAGTGCAAACTGAGAACGAGAAGTCCAGCGAAGAAAGCAAGGAAAGTGAAACCGATAAACCCAACTTCATTACGCGCGTACGCGATGCGCTCTTTGGCAAGAAATCCGCGGACGAGCCAACCAAAGCAGCTGACAAGCCGGATAAGAGAGAAGAAGACCAAAAACCGATTGCGGATNTGCTGCTGCTGCTGCCGAACAGGCACCCGAGACGCAAAATAACAATGCCGCAACGGCAGTGCTCATCGAAACCGAGGCCGATTATGTGCTCGTCGATTCGGATGTAGAGCACCTGGAACATTTGGGCAGTTTCACGCACGCCGATAGCGAGGAATATCTGCAGCCGATTGTACACTCGGTGGAAGTGGTGCCAACGCATTTCGAAGAACCGTTGCTGTTCACGAGTAGTTACGTGCATGCCTGGTAGCCGCTTGGCGTAAGCCGAATGGGAAAGAAATTATTGTTAGCTTAGTTTTAATGGAATCATTTACATAGGTTCATCAAAACACAGTTCTATTTTTACGCACTACCCTCAGAGCTCCGAACTACATACATCTTTTTCGTTTTTATAGCTAATAGTCATTGTAGTTTCTTACATATGTATGTTTTATATTTTCATATTCGCATTAACGATTCTTTCTATAAACGAAATTAATGTTTTTATAACGAAAAATTGTGTTTTCATTTGGTTTTTAACCCACACGCGTTACCAGTTGGAATCCAATTTCGCGAACTTCATTGGCTTACACAAATATTTAGTTTCGTT